TGCGAAAAGGAACCAAGAAAAAATAATATTTACTAGAAAGAATTATAAAAATCTAATTACTTAAAAAGACCAAATACCTAAATTAAAAAAGTAAAATACTAAATTGCCCTTCTCATCTTCCACATGACTTCCGCTTTCTTTCTCCCTTCACCAGCTCTTGCACTAAGGCACAGTCATTAATCACTAATACTCTCTCAAAGTTGCAAAAGCAACTTCGAAATGTAGAATCATATAACAAGAAACCAACCTTTTAACAAAAATGCAGAACAAAAAGATCAAACAATATTCGACAAATTCTAAGAGGCGGTTGATATTGTGTGAGGGCGGGGGAGATTGAAAACTATTTTAATATTTTTATTTTGATATTCGGTCTTTCTAAATAATTAGAATTTTTATGATCCTTTTAAATAAATATTATTTAATCTAGGTTCTTCATTTTAATTTTCTCAAAAATTAATAAACGTCCAATTCTCGCCCCTGCTGTGTTTGTTGCAATTTCTTATAAAAACTACGGTACATTTGAACATCTATAATTGATTAAACCTGATAATAATTAATTCTGATAAAAATATTGGATGCTATGTATATTTGTGTGTGTAGTAGTAATAATAAAATACTTTTCCAATCCTAAATATAAAATTCATTTATATTATAAAATGAGTTTTATATTTAGAATTGGAAACACTAATGCCATCAAACCGTACAAGAAGGAATATTCCATTTGTTAGAGAAAAAAAGGGAATATTCCATTTGTTGATGTACACTCTTTGGGGTCCGTGATGACTGATGATTTGATTCGCGTTTTAAGAAACTAACGTTTTTCTTAAATTCAACCTTTTTTCCTACTATTTTTGCTCGGCCCAAAATTAAAATGGGCCTATGACCGCAAGAATGAAAAGAGAAACAAGTGTGGTGAGGCCGAGGAAGCGTTTAGATGCCAAAGCAAAGCTATGAGGATCTCAATCAAGTCAATTGGCAAATGTAATTCAAAACGATCTTAAGGCGACTAACTGGAAGGGGAGTTGAGTTTAATGGAAGAGATTAATATTTCATAATATAACAAACTCATGTTTGAATTTTTATTAGAAGAGGTACTCATATTTAATGTTTGATAATACCTTGAATATAATTGCTTTCAACAAAAAGATACTTATCGATACAGATTTAATTAATTAATTTTCTTTTGTTAGTTTTTTATTTTTTTTAACTACCCACTAACCAACTTATTGATTTTTCATTTTAATTATTTTATTTAAAATTAGGTAATAAGTACCTAGGTTTCCATCATGTAGGCAGACTTGGCTTTTTTGAATGTATCAGATCGTTTTTTTCCATTCCCGTTCTCGTTTCTGCTCTCCCTTTCTCTCTAATATTCTTCTCTGATCTCCTTCTCTTTCCCTTTCTCCTTTCTGTTTTACATCAATTTTGGCATCAGAGCTTGGTTGTGATCCCTGTGTGATTAATTTCTTTCAATTCCTAACATCCAAACACGCCCTTAGTCCAAGAAACTCCATAGCCGCCGCTCACCACCGTCCTGCACCTCTGTTCAACCACATCACAACTCTGCTTGTCATTCCATCACCTTCGGTCCTTACTCTGGCAACAAACCGTCCAAACCCTGGTGATCCACTGCCAAGAACCGTCAAAAATCACCTCGTACGACGCAAACTCCTCCCTTGCACAAAGTCACCATAGGCGTCACTTTGGAGGCCCAGATCTCGCTCGTCCAAAATCTGATCAGCGTGAAACCACCCCCATCGGGTTCGCAGGGAGGAACATGGCTAGACCCAGAAATCTCACGGCCAATCGGTGTTCCACGCACCCCCACGCGCTGCCACGGTCTTTGCACGCGATCTCCACGCAACGTCACGTTGTCAACTCACCCAGATCGCGTTTTTTGCCGTTTTGACCCTGTTTTGCATCGTTTCTTCCACCACTGACCTTCCCAATGCCAAGAGCAATCACCCAGGAGAATTGGGGTAGTTTTTTGGTGTCGTAAAGCTACGCCGGTAAGGCCCAATCAACCCTCTAATTAATTACTGTGACTTTTAGTATACTGGAGGTTGCTTTTTATTGCTTTGGGTCTTTGTTCTTGCTAGATACTACTGCTGCCTGTATATATATTTTTGGTTATTTATTCTTGATTATTATTTTATAGCTTAAAAAAAAGGAAGAAGAAAAAGAGAGAGAAAAAGGGCAACCAAAAAAAAAACAGAGAGAGAATTTATTTTCATTTTATTAGTAGCTTCTTTGCTTGCTTCATTATTTATTGTTAGCTTTCGCCTCTCTATTGCATGACTATTTGTGATATTGAAAATAGACACGACACCTTAGACCAAGCACTTCAATCCTTAGAACCTCGTGTTAGCTCCCTTCAATCCCAAATGGACCAAAGACTTCAGACCTTTGAACTAAAACTGAATGAACTCACCAAATACCTTAAGGAATCTTTGGCCGAGATTAAGCAAGAATATAACTCCCAATGTCAAGAGCTTAGAGCCACTACTCAGGAACTTAAGATAGCTAATCAAGAGCTTAGGACCTCCCGGCAAGAAATTAGAGATTCTCTCCTAAGAATTGATAGGCATGTCTTTAGTAAGGGTATAGAAGGAATTCTTGGAAATGCCCCTGAGACCAATCAAGCAAACACCAAGCTCGACACTATTGGACCATCTCATACTAAAAGGTCCTAGCTTTCTATAGGTCTTAGTCCTTAAAGATAGGATAAACCCTAAAGATTGGGAAAAGTTCAATCGATAGGTTAACGGCTTGCTTGAGCAGGGCTACATCCAGCATAGCCTTAGTCCTTGCGCTATCCCTGCCCTTTTGACTCTGAAGAAAGATGGCTTGTGGAGAATGTGTGTTGACAGTCGAGCCATCAACAAGATAACCGTCAAGTACCGGCTCCTAATCCATAGGTTAGAGGACATGCTAGATTTGGTGTTTGGATCCAAGTGGTTCTCCAAGCTCGATCTTTGTAGTGGTTACCATAAGATTCGAATCAGACCAGGAGATGAGTGGAAGACCGCATTCAAGACTCAAGATGGACTGTATGAGTGGCTCGTTATGCCATTCGGCTTAACGAACACCCTGAGCACATTCATGCGAGTGATGATGCATATGTTGTAGCCTTATCTAGGAAAGTTCATGGTTTTCTATTTTGATGACATTCTAGTTTTCAGTAAATCCAGAGATGACCACTTGCATCACCTTAGACAGGTGCTCCTGACCCTTCAGAAGGAGAAGTTTTATCTTAACCTACCAAAGTGCTCCTTCCTACAGAGTCAAGTTACATTTCTTGGATTCATTGTCTCCGAACAAGGCTTGTTCGCAGATCCCGTAAAAGTCCAAGCCATCCAAGATTGGCCAGCACCGCAGACATTGCATAAAGCACACAGCTTTTATGGGCTAGTGTCCTTCTATCGGCATTTCATCAGAGATTTTAGCACCCTTATGTCTCCAATTACTAACTTCTTGAAGAAAGATAAGTTCAAGTGGACTACCACAGCCTCCACAGCTTTCAGCACTATTAAGGAAAAACTCTTGAGTGCTCTCGTCCTGGCTTTACTTGACTTTCACAAGTGCTTCGAAGTTTCTTGTGATGCTTCTGGGGTTGGAATTAGAGGTGTTCTAAGCCAAGAAGGCCACCTCGTCGTCTATTTCAGTGAGAAGCTTAATGAGGCCAAGCAAAAGTACTCCATGTGCGATAAGGAGTTTTATGCCATTGTTTGATCTTTGGAGCATTGGAAGTACTATCTCCTCCCCCAACAATTTGTCATCTACTCAGACCACCAGTCTCTCAAGTTTCTTAGCTCCCAACGACACTTGAATGCCAAACATGCCAAGTAGAGCACTTTCATTCAGGAATTTACTTTTGTGGTCAAGCACCGCCCAGGGGTAGAGAACAAGGTAGCTGACGCTCTTAGCCGAAGAATCCACGTTCTCAACACCTTAACGGTTAATGTCGTGGGATTTGATAGGCTCAAGGACAAGTACACTTCGTGTCCTAACTTTGGCATCATTTATGATGAGGTTAAAGATGGCAACTGCCAAGATCATGTGAATTTCCTACTTGATGATGGCTACTTGTTCCATGGGTCTAGGTTGTGTATTCCTCGCACATCACTACATGATTTTCTTGTTTGGGAATTACACGCCGGAGGGCTAGCCAAACACTTTGGCATTCAAAAGACTACAACTATGGTTGAAGATAGGTTCTACTGGCCTTCCATTAAACGTGATGTTGCTCAAATCCTTTTCCAGTGTCATACATGCCATACAGCAAAGGCAAAGAAGAGGAATACTGGGTTGTACACGCCTCTTCGTGTTCCTGAGGCACCATGGAAGGACATTAGTATGGATTTCGTGCTTGGGTTGCTAAAGATAGTATGAGGGCATGATTCTGTCTTGGTTGTAGTTGATAGATTCTCGAAAATGGCACATTTTATCTCATGCAGTAGGACTACCGATGCCTTACATCTAGCCAAGCTTTTCTTTCGAGAGGTTGTGCGCCTTGATGGTCTGCCTACCACCATCGTCTCTAATAGGGATGTCAAGTTTGTTAGCTATTTTTGGAAGACCCTCTAGAAGCTCTTCGGTACGCAACTGAAGTTCTCACCTGCTTTCCACCCTCAGACTGATGGACAGACTGAAGTGACTAACCGTAGCTTAGGTGACCTGCTCCGCAGTTTAGTTGACGATAAGCCCAATAACTGGGATTTAGTCTTGCCGATAGCTAAATTTGCTTACAATAACTCGGTCAATAGATTCACTAGCAAAAGCCCATTCCAAATTGTCCAAGGTCACAACCTAAAGCATCCTATTGACCTTGTTCCCCTTCCCCTGTCTACTCACCCTTCTAAGTCGGCTGAGACCTTTGCACATCGCCTTGAAGATATCATGCTGAGATTAGGCGCAAATTAGCTTTAAATAATGACAGGTATAAGATAGCTGCTGATGTCCATTGACGTCACCAGGAGTTTGATGTTGGCGACCTTGTCATGGCTCGTATGCGGCTTGAGCGTTTCCTAAAAAGGCCTTACAAGAAGCTGCACGCCTGTGCCTCTGGCCCGTTTTGCATTTCCAAGAAGTTAGGGCCCAATGCATATTTATTAGAGTTACCTCCAAATATGTCTATTAGTCTAGTATTTAATGCTGAGGATCTTGTTCCTTACCGGGGCACTTTCGAGTCTCACCCTTTATGTTCTAATGACTCTGCAGGTACTTAGACTCACCAAGCCCCAACCCCACCCGTGCTTAGAGTTGCGCCTCCTGCGGAAGCCATTGACGTCGTGATGTATGAGCAGACGGTTCTAACTCCAGCAGGTCCCATCAGTCGTTACCTCGTTCGTCGGAAAGGCTATCCTGATTCAGACGCTACATGGTCCACCGAGGACGAGTTCTATCATGTGGATGCCGCCCTCCTCAACAGCTACCAGCTTTCTAACTCTCCGGTGGCGAGTTCTTCGAGCAGGGGGGAAATGATGCAGATTTAATTAATTAATTTTCTTTTGTTAATTATTTTATTTTATTAACTACCCACTAACCCACTTATTGATTTTGCATTTTAATTATTTTATTTAAAATTAGGTATAAGTACCCTAGTTTTCCATCATGTAGGCAGACTTGGCTTTTTTGAATGTATCATATAGTTTTCTTCCATTCCCGTTCTTGTCTTTGCTCTCCCTTTCTCTCTAATATTCTTCTCTGATCTCCTTCTCTTTTCCTTTCTCCTTTCTGTTTTACATCACTTATACCTAAAAAAAAAGAACCTAGAGATGAAAGTTATTTTGCCGAGAAAATAGAATAGTAAGGGTCAACGCAATCATGTTAGAGTTTGTTTAAATTGATGGTAGAAAAAGTAATTTATTTTTATTCTAGCTTTTAAAAAACTTAGATTGGGTAAAAGGTAGATCGGTAATATAATTTATATTTGGAGTAGCTTTTATAAAAATTAGTTTGTAAAGTAGCAAAGTTGTTAGGATTATGATTAGATAAGTAAGTATGACCATTATTAAATAATAAAAAATAAATTTACAAAATATAATAATTTTAAATTATTATAATAGGAAGGAGTTATATTTAATAAATAAAATATATTTACATTAGAAATTATAGTAATGTGAAATTTTTTTAACAAAATAATATTACATAATTAATTAGATGATATACTCTACATAATTTATGTAAATATAAAATTAAAAAAATTATAAATATTTTGCTATAAATATTTTTATTCAAAAAATTATTAAAAATAAATAACTAAAAATTGATTGAGAAGCACATTGAATATATAGAGAGAAGTACAAGGAGAACACAAATATAGGGGTAAAAATGTTTTTTAATTTTGAAAAGTAGCTTTTACATAAACAAGATAAGGTATGAACCATAAAAAATAACTTGTGACTTAAAGTGACTTTTTTAGGCAAAATGACTCAAACCATAGAGTGTGTTTGGTTGAGCAATTGAAGGGCTAGAAGTAGCTTTTAGTAGGGGTCGGGCCAACTCGCGGGTTGCGGGTTGGCCCGTGGCAGGTTCAACCCATATGGGTCGGGTTAAAAAGCGTCGTTTGAAGGCGGGTTGGCTTTTAGCCGACCCTAACCCATCAAGGTGGGTTGGTGGGTTGGCCCGCCAACAATTATTTACCTTTTTAAAAAAATTTTAATCTTTTAATATTATTTTTTTATTCAATATTTAAAAAAATAATGATATTTTTACTTTTTTCTTGAAATATTTGATTGGAAATACCAAATAAATTATATAGGTATTTTTTTAATTTTTTAGATATAATATCATATATAATAATACAATTATAATAATTTTTAAAAAAATTTTTAAAAAAAATATGCGGGTTAGCCCGCGGGTTGGCAGGCTAACCAGCGGTGGGTTGCGGGCCTGGCGGTGCGGGTTGGAAAGATTTGTTTACTGGCGAGTTGACTTTTAGCCAACCGTAACCTGTTATTTTTTACGGGTTGGCCAGCTCTAGCTTTTAGTGAGCAAAAGTTAGGTTGAGTTATTTTATTACGTTTGGCATCACATTTAGAGTGTGTTTGGGATCACGTTTTGTGATCCCAAACTGACTTCTCACCAGCCAAACTAGCTTTTGGCCACAATTTTTTGTTTGGAATCACGATGGAAAAAAATGAGCTTTATGAAAATAAGTAGCTTTTCATAGAAGTTATTTTTTGTTGCTTGTGGGATGCATCATGGTGTGGTGAGAAAAAAAATGAGCTTTATGAAAATGGGATACTCTCTCCCTTGCCTCAAAAGAAGTGCCATTTGCATAGAAAATGACCATGCCATCCATATTTATTTGTTGCATATAATAAAATTTATATCCTTTTTAGTCATTTTACATCAAAACTTACTTTTTCATTAATCATCCAAACAAGTTTCAGCTTTTCAAACTGACTTTTTTACAAAACTCAATCCAAACATAAATTACATTACATTATCTGATTTTTATCCAATCTGACTTCTGTAAAAGTCATATTGAAAAAAAAGTTACTTTTCCACTGCTAATCCAAACACACTTTTAGATATGAGTTATTTTGCCTAAAAAAGTCACTTTAAGTCATAAGCTAATTTTGTGGCTTATGCAAAAGCTCCTTTTTAAAATCAAAAGATATTTTTACTCCTAGATTTATGTTCTCCTCATGCTTCTCTCTACATTTTCAATGTGTTTTCCAACCAATTTTTAGTTATTTATTTTGAATACTCTTTTAAATAAAAATAATTTTTAACAAAATTTTTATAATATTTTAATGTTATTTTTATTTTATATTTACATAAATTATGTTGAGTATATCATCCAATTAATTATATAATATTATTTGGTTAAAAATTTTTCACATTACTATAATTTTTAATTTAAATATAGTTTATTCATTAAATATAACTCCTTCCCATTATAATAATTTAAACTTATTATACTGTATAAACTAATTTTTTAATCACTTTTCATTATTTAATAAAAGTCATACCTATTTTGGTCATTCTACAAATTAAACTTATTTATTCAATCATAATCCAAACAACTTTTCTACTTTATAAACTAATTTCTACAAAAGCCAATCCAAATATACATCACATTACCCAATCTCACTTCTCTAAAAGTAAGATTAAAAATAAGTTATTTTTTCTACCGCTAATCTAAACAGACCCTTACAGCCAAATGTGATGCCAAACATAATAAAATAATCCAATTTGACTTTTGCTGCCTAAAAACTATTTTCACCCTCTTCAATTGCTCAACCAAATAGACTCTTATAATCTAATTAAAGTCTATTTGGCAGAGCATCTAGGGGCTAAAAGTTACTTATTCAGCCCATAAGCACGTTTGGAGTTTCAGCACCTGTTTGGCTAAGCTTTTGACCCGTCCTCCTTATGAGCTAAAAGTTAGATTCAGAAACATGATTGCCTTAAATAAAAAAAAGTTACTCATAACTTATCAAAAGCTACATAGAGGCCCATCCTACTTATTACTTACTTTTTATTCAATTATAATCCAAACAACTTTTTACCTAGTTTAACTTTTACAAACTAGATTTTATAAAATCCAATCCAAATATAAATCATATTATCTAATTGAACTTTTACTTAATCTAATTTTTTCAAAAGTCAAATTAAAAATAAACTACTTTTTCTATTACTAATCCAAACAGACCCTTAGGCATCCATAAACATAAATATTTGTTTTTTGAACTTAAAAATTATTACTATGAACATAATGAGATGGTTGAATTACAAGTCATATTTTCCTTCAAAGCAACCCTAATCTTTTGCTTCCACTTCAAGAAATTAGTGTTAAAACAAAATAATCTTAAACTAGAGATAATCAAGAAAAAAACGTTATAATTATTAATTAATTTCTAGCCGCTACATAATAAAAATTCTTTATTCTAAAATTTTTGCTCAATTTCAAACAAAAATAAATGAAAAGGAAAAAAAAAATTCTACGCACACTTTTACTACATGTAGGGATGATCAATTAATTAATTCAATTCGGTTTGGTTACAAAACTGACAAAACTACTCAAAATCCAAAAAAGGGTAAATCTAAAAAACTAAACGGGGTCAAAATCTTTTTTTTTTTAAAAAAAAATAAAAGGTTTAGGTAAATTGGATTTTAGAAGCTGATTAGAATAAGCACGTCTCAAAACTAAAATAGTGCTTACAGATGTGCTTACAAGTCACCTACCAATAAGATTCTCATATCAATAACATAATTCAAAGTTACAATTTTATATTTTATAAGTCAATTTTTTTATCAACTAGATCAATTTTTGTTGCCAAAAAATTGTTATTTTAATCAAATTGAACTTAACACATTTTAATCTAGAGTTAAATTACAATTTTAACAATCAAGTTTTAAAGGATGCAAAATGAAACGTAATTATTAAAGAGAGGAGCATGTTTACCACTTTCCTTAACAAATTTAAAGACACATGGCACCTTTCTTTCCCTTTCCATTATCTTTATTTTTCTTCTCTCTTCTCTCCTACGTCTTGCCTCTCTGCATGTGAAACTCAACCTCTCCCATGTCACCGCCATTAACAACCATCTCTGCAATAAGATTGTTGGACAAAAAAATTCATAGTATTAAATTTTTTGGTTGAATATGGGGCTGTTCCTGAACAACAAGGCGAGTAATGGTGTGGCGGCAAAGCAATAGGCCTCCACCTTGTTTTGGTAACTAGCATATGTCTTGGTTCTTTCTTTAATTGCTTCGTCCTTTAATGGCCCTTAAATACTACTTATTTTGTACTCATCAGCATTTAGAGCAGTGGTGTTTTTTTATGGATATCTAACTGGCAGTGTCCCTAGCTTGCTTACTATTCTTCTATATCAATGCCATTATTATTAGCATTTTCGTGTCCTTCAACTCCTATGAGTAAGTTTTCGTGAAGAGTACTGCAGCGATGGTTGTTAATAGTGGTGTAATGGTGGTTAATGGCGCTAACACTAAGATTGGAGGGGTTGAGTTTGGCAGAAAATCACAGGAGAGAAGCGAAATGAAAATGAAAGATGAGAGAAGAGGCGAAGGGGAAGAAAGGAGCTACATGCTAGGACTGTTCACGGGACGAGACTAGATCGAACCGGGACAGGCCCGTCCCGGTGAAAAGGGACGGGACAGGATTTTTGTCCTGGTCACATTCCAATGAATAGGGATAGGACGGGATTTTTGTCCCGTGTCTCGTCCTGTCCCCATACCGGGACATCCCATTTCCCTTTAAAAAAAGCTATAATTGGTTGTCTAAATTTTTTTATGTTATAATACTTATTTTTCATTGCACTTCTAAAGATAAAAACATTATAATAAAATGTTATGTAGAAAGCTTAATTATATAGTATAAAATAGGTGTAAAATAATACTGTAAAAAAAAAAATACCATAAGGACAACACTATATAATGGCTTTGTGAATTATTTTATTGAGGAAGGAGATTTTGTTGTGATAATACTACAATTTAAGAGCTAAAAATAATTATTATTAAT